GCGAAAAATGTACGATTTTGAAGATAATTCCTTAACTATATTTCGTTTATATTGATACTGACATAGTTTGATAAATAACAATATTTATACTGATTTCCCTATTTACATCGATAATTATATGACGTTCTTATTTATGTTGACAACTTTACTATCTATAACTGACGTTCTTATTTATGTTGACAATTATATTGATATCTATAACTTATATTTACGTTGACAATTACGTTTATTTACTGATATTTTTTTTATTTGTATTATATTGACTGCAACTCGTTACAGGAAGAAAATTGACTCACATATTAATTTCATTTAACCATGTGTCTACTTATGTATCTACTTATGTACCTCTTGTATTTAGCTGTTTATTTAGCTGTAATTAATAAAATGCATCATACAATTATTTTCTACATTCTCTACAATTTCTAATTTGTCGCAGAAATTAATGGAAATAAATTAAAATTGAACGTAGTAGTCTTGTGTACCCGTGTAAATTACTCGTGGTATGCACCTCGCCTACGTTGATTTAAAGCTTCCATAGGGGAAAGGGGATCGATTAACCACACTGACCCCAAACGTGTCGGCAGTTAACGCTAATTTCTTCTAATAAATTACGCTAATCAAATTTAATGGGTGATGAACGTTAATCTCGTCTTTGCGACTTTTGTGCTTTTCTTCAAAATCTGCATCTATTCTATAGCATAAACCTTGTTCTTCTAATAAAAAATAATCGTCATTTACTTGCTACTTATGATACTTGATATTTATTGAAATAAAAACGGTAGATAAATTATCTTCCACTTTTTCTAAACGTGTTTCTTCATTAAAAAAAAAAAAAAAACGAATATGATTTATTATTTGCTTGATACACATTTATCGAAAAAATGGTAGATATCTTCTACTTTTTCTAAATATACTTCTTCTTTTAAAATATTGATGAATATTAACTGCAATAAAAACGACAGACATCTTTACTTTTTCTAAAGTCTTCTTCCTTTGTCCTCTGCGTGTTAAACATGCTACTAACACGTGTATTGGATCCATTTCTTCTGAAAATAAAAAATTTGTATTATGAAGAAATATTTGTTTAAATAAATTAAATAGATGTTTTCCACTGTTTTTAAATTTACTTTATTTCTCTTTTCTATTGGATGTTTTCCCCCATCATTATCACTATAACTTCTAGTGGTAAAAATCTGACTTACAATACCATGTAACATTAACAAAGAACATTTATCTAATATAAAACGCGTTTCGCGTTAAGTACACTAAACATGTTCCACGTTGAGTACGCGCGTACCGACAGGAAAAATTACTTTAAAAGTAAAATTTAATGGCGAACTGAACGCTCGAAAACGATCAATAATTCTGTCGATGATAACGGTAGTGATGAATCATGCGACAGTAATATTTCATAACCTCTCGCTAAAAATGTAACTATTTAACTCGCCTTTTAGAAACTTTCAAGCACCATGAGAATGTTTCGCGTTCGATTACTTTTAGCCTAAGCTCGATCCTTTGTCGAAGGTGTCCATGTTAGCGGACAGCGACTCTAAAACTATTTGGTTAAAAAGAATTCTTTCGAAGTTGTCTCTCTATTATTAATTACCCCTGGTTTCGCTATGTTTATAACACTGTAGATTCGGTTAAATATCTACTTCAAATTCTTGTATCAAACCGAATGGTCACCTTTCGAGCAAAGGGTCACTGTCTTTGTTTATAAATAATTCGCGCACTCATTTTGCTACTTAGTTGCTGAGGTATTTCCTTATTAGCTGTTCCATATCGGGTACAATCACCCTACATAGCACAAAACTGCAAAACACATTCCAAATGGTCGAAACAACTTGGAAATATGTTGTAGATAAAGATCGGCAGGTACAAAAACTCCCATCATTATTGACGTCAATACCCCGTGTATAAAAGTGAAAAGTGTACGAATCAAAACAATCGTTCTTTCCAATGAATGCAAGCAATAGTGAGATAAAAAGCAGAGATTACTATTATTTAAAAACTATGGAAAAATTTTATCTCACTTTTATCTGAAGGTATGTGGACTATAGGTATTAAATACTCCAATACATTTCAGCATTCCGATAAAATTTCTATAGGAAAAAATATCACGTTATGGATGTAAAGGGCTGGAGTCTTTGTTATTAAATATTTCATACATTCTTTTTGCTACTTAATTACGGAGATAATTACGGTACAACGTAAAAAACGCATTGTCATATTAGATACAATTGCCTTATCTCGTACGTGAAAAAGTAGAAATGTCCATTTGACTTTGAGGTCTTCAACGTCCTACTATAAAGCGCTACTTATCTTCTTTAAATGGCAACAAGTTGAACAATGAAGAAATTAAGCAACGCTACATTGCAGCGTAACTATGTATTTATCAGAGCAGCAGTTAAACCCAACGATCGTGACGTTTGAACGTTGTCAGCAATCCGGAAACTATCGAGGTTAACGGTCATCGGTAGACTCTTTTCAGCGCAAACAGTTGGACGTTCGGTGTTTTGCAACTGCTCTAATCTACATCACGCTTAATTGTAATTCTTCCAGTGGTTGGATCGAGTATTTACATATCGAGATACCACATATTCATTCGTGGTATTTTAGCATCGATCGAGACGGTTCCAAATGATACCCGAATATCAAAACGCGTACGTGATTTCATAGAATATGCGCAGCTGCGCAAGCTCGATTGCTTAAGTACTTTAATTAAATAGTGGTACAGAATAGTAGAGTGAAATAGTGGAATTATTACAAAGATATGATGAAATAATTTAGTAGTGTGAAATAATGAAATTGAAGAACGTAGTTGAATGATGAAATGATAAATGTGGGAGAAATTGTGGAAATTATATAAGTACAATTGGCAAGATTGTAAAGTAATCATTAAATTAAGTGCAATCTGATAAAATAGTGATATAGTGTTTCAAAGTTATCAAGTTTTTAAATATTACGTTTTCTGAGAACGCAAAGTTCTGTAGCTTCAAAGTCCTATAGTTGCAAAATCTCAAAGTTCTGAAGTAACAGAAAGTACCAGAAGTGTCAAATTCTCATAATTTTAAGATTAGAAATTGCTTGGGTGCAATCCTGCAGTTCTGAAGTCCAAAACTACCAAACTTCGAAGGTCCTAAATTATACAATTTCAAATTACCATAATTCTAAGGTCTCACACTTTTGAGGTCTTATAGTTTTGAAGTCCCAAAATTCTAAACTTCTAATACTACAAAATTATGAAGTTTTGACGTCACAACGACTCAGTCTCTAAATTCCCAAATTCCTAAACTCCCATAATCCCAAAGTCCCAATATCTCAAATTCTCAACATCCTAGAATCCCAAAGTCCCAAAGTCCCAATCTCTCAAAGTCCCAACACCCCAAAGTCCCAACATCCCAAAGTCCCAATCTCTCAAATTTCCAACATCCCAAAGTCCCAATATCCCAAAGTCCCAATATCCCAAAGTCCCAATATCCCAAAGTCCCAATATCCCAAAGTCCCAATATCCCAAAGTCCCAATATCCCAAAGTCCCAATATCCCAAAGTCCCAATATCCCAAAGTCCCAATATCCCAAAGTCCCAATATCCCAAAGTCCCAATATCCCAAAGTCCCAATATCCCAAAGTCCCAATATCCCAAAGTCCCAATATCCCAAAGTCCCAATATCCCAAAGTCCCAATATCCCAAAGTCCCAATATCCCAAAGTCCCAATATCCCAAAGTCCCAATATCCCAAAGTCCCAATATCCCAAAGTCCCAATATCCCAAAGTCCCAATATCCCAAAGTCCCAATATCCCAAAGTCCCAATATCCCAAAGTCCCAATATCCCAAAGTCCCAATATCCCAAAGTCCCAATATCCCAAAGTCCCAATATCCCAAAGTCCCAATATCCCAAAGTCCCAATATCCCAAAGTTCCAACACCCCAAAGTTCCAACACCCCAAAGTCCCAACTCCCCAAAGTCCCAATCTCTCAAATTTCCAACATCCCAAAGTCCCAATATCCCAAAGTCCCAATTTCTCAAATTCCCAATATTCCAAAGTTTCAACACCCCAAAGTCCCAACTCCCCAAAGTCCCAATCTCTCAAATTTCCAACATCCCAAAGTCCCAATTTCTCAAATTCCCAATATTCCAAAGTCCCAACACCCCAAAGTCCCAATCTCTCAAATTTCCAACATCTCAAAGTCCCAATATCCCAAATTCCCAATATTCCAAAGTTCCAATATTCTAAAGTCCCAATATTCCAAAGTCCCAATATCCCTAAGTTCCAAAATCCCAAGTCCCAAACTTCCAAACCCCGAATCTTCCAAAATCCTAAAATCCCAAAGTCCCAAAAACCTCATACACTCTCTTCAATTGCCAAGATTTCCCTCGTGTTCCACATCGGATTCTCTCCAAGTATCACTCGACACCAATGAGTCATACCCTTAATACCTCTTAAACCACCCCGATTAATCCTCTCCGAATTTCACCCGAAGCAAAATGCTATCTCCAAATCCACCTTCATTCCCCTAAGACTCATTGATTCCACAATCGTATTCGTCCATCAAATCGTTAGCACGTCCATGTAAGTCCCCGCAGATGCTCGTATGTATGTCTGCTAGAGAAGCTGGTCGGTCTGCTTTCTAAATTTTTAAGCGGCCACGTTTCTGCGCTTCGGTACACGCGTACATTCCGCGACGGACACGTATCGTCCCATTGTGCCAGCACGTTCCGATAAGAATCTAATCAAAAACCGCTGTTCATCTCGACACGCGTGACAAAGTCGGTATAAGAGCGGTGGCACTCGTCCGGGGGCTCTGTGGCGGTGTCGGCAACAGGTGTGCGCATCGATTCCCTCGGGAAAAGAAAACGTCTCGGTGTAAATGAGGAAAGCAGGGGAGGAGGAGAAGGTGGTGTCCGTAGTGGTGGTGGTTCTGCCGGCGGTGGTGGTGGTTTGTCGAAAAGGGGGGAAAATCAGTGGCGAGGGAACAGGAACGAGAGCGTTCCTCGGTTCACTCAGTTCAACGAAGTACGCCGAAGGTGAAAAGTCTCTTTCTTCTTCGCGTTGATCACCTTGCCCGTTACTTTGTACAGTGCCGCACGGATATATAGCGAGTCGAGTGTGCCGAGTGGTGATCCCCATCGAAATTCGCGGGGATCTTGCTAAATGTGATCGACATCGTCGCCATCTTAGTCGTCGCTGACAACCAGTGCATACGTATATTTACGATAAATTACGTGTTTTGCCTAACGTTTGGACGCGATTGTTCGTGCGTCGGTTGCATCTATGTGTCCCTGTAGTAAGGCACTGCTGTTGCCTTGCGCTGACACACCATAGCCACCGCGATTCCTCACGATTTCAACCTACTATGTTGGAATTCTCTGTGCAGCATGCTGAAGTCGGTACGTACACGACGATTTGATATACAGCATGGTGTACGTGGGTCGCATGGAAAGAAAGTGCTTTCTCGTTTATCCGTGCCTTTCGTGACTTAGGCCTGACCTTCGAAGGACATTGTCGTTAAGGAGTTGCTCTTTTTTCCTCTTTTTAGCACATTGCTTTATGTTCGCTCGATTTTTGAGTGCCCTCGGTTTGGTGGGGTGCTTTGCCAATTTCAAGGCGCTGTCACTTATGTCATGCTCCCTTACTTTCATCTGATTTATCGAATGTTAACGCTCTGGAAATTATACACTGTAACGTTCTTTTAATTGAAACTACTGTATTTAATTGGACTACTTAAAACTGCGAATTGAAGGCGAAGTGTGTCACTGGCTGACTCTAGAAAAAAATAGGGGGGCTAGTTTGAATTTTCTACATTGAAAGTCCACGAAATTATCTGAAAATTATTTAGTATTTACTGTATAAAATTATTACAAAATTTCTTACATTTACAATACATGTTTTTGTTTAAATATATTATCAAAGAAGTGAGATTACTTACAAAATGAAGATGCATTTTTTTATTTACAAAATGTAGCTCCGAAAAATTTGTTAACCTTTGGAGATTATTTTGAAAAAATAGCCAATCAGTATTATTAGTCAGAAATATACTTAGCAAAATTATTACAGCAATTCAGAAAAATTAACATTAATAACAATGTCATTTTTTTAATATAGTGTGTCATAGTCATTAAAACGTTTAATACGTAAACATCTAAGTAGTAAATATGGGTCACCGTAGACCCAACCCTATGTGCAATTACATGTTAACTCCCACTTAAAAGAAAAACAAGATAATTGCAATTACCCATGAACGAAATTTTTAAATTGGTCAATTTTTTGATCAGTTGTCAGTTAACGTCCATTAATAATTTTTTAGCAAGCTGGGGACGTAAAATGACCGATTTCCTGATTAAAGATACACAGGGTACGTTCTAGAAAATGTAGGTAGAACATGGGGATATGTATTAAACGGTGTAATAAAGTCAACTGTACGTAATAAAGCATGAGCGCGATCATTCAATTGAGAATTGTTGGTTGTTCGAGGTTCAAGAACGCGGGGATAGTCTTCCATGAGAATTTGCACGAAAGCACCTTCATTTTCATGCGTACAGTCCGCACGTTATATTATGTATTAAACTGCTCTTTAAAAAAGATTATACTTACATTATTTACATTGCATAACTTTTGTGATTAAGTCTAATCGCTTTTATGAAAACTTGTCGAATGACCTCTGACTTGTGCAACTATTCAGATATGAAGTATGTACAAAAATATTTATAAGAGAAGTAAAATAAATAGTTAATATAATTAATAGTAAAATAAAAATGATAATAACGGACAGACGAACCGATAAAATAACAGACAATATGAAAAATACAGTATTTTCAGAATATTTTCATAATTCTGTTAACATAGATTTGTAGGTTTTAATGTATCTTTCAACTTTTGTCCAAAACATTATTGTCTATCGCGTACAGTTGAAGAGTTATACGTGAAAATGTGCTCGTGCCCAATGGCGTAGCGAGGCATCTTGTTCTACGCCCCTGATTCGGCGTTTTAAATTCTTATCTGTCACTGAGACTTCCGAAGTGCTGTTTTAGGGATCAGATTTCGTACATCTTTTGGCTGGAGCAATTTTATGGCCCCTTAAAGATTACAGGCCCTCGAAAGTATGTTATATTACCCTATCGGATTTGACAGTATTAAGAATGATGAAACACGAATGTGACATATCATTATTCTTGTCTTGGATTGCTCTATAAATTCCGTGAGGTTTCGACGCAGATTCGCAAATTATTTTCAAGCAATAAATAATATAAATAAATTATTATAGAGTCAAATATATTTTTATATTATACAGTTAAATTTACTTTTATGTTTTAGAGTTAAATTTATTTTTATATTATAGAGTTAAATTTACTTTTATATTGCACAATCAAAGGTATTTTCATATTTTAATGCATTGTTAAGTGTAGTCACCTATGACAAATATTCAGCACATATGTAATAATTTGTAGTCCAATATTTTAGTTACTGGTCAAAATGACCCCATTTCCATTGTTCATTCTCACCACCTACTTCGACAAAAAAAACTTGCATAAAATTTTACTTACGGAGCAAAATAACCTCCTTTGAATTTAAACTAACGTAATTATAATATAACTAAAATAAATAAAAAAAATTCTTGTTATGAACGTTTCTTCGTTTTCTTCAACTTTTATGCGTTTCAAACGTAGTAGGTAGAATTGCATCGCTGTTTGACAACGTATATTGCAGAACAGATAAAATAATTTCACTTAGTCGATACGACTCGTGGAGTACGTATATCGTGTTTGACGTACGCTAAGCCTTTTAGTCGGCGAAAGTAAATCGTGCAATTAAACGTATTACGTTTTTAGATAAGAGTTCCTTTCTGTCATCACACGCTCATTGCTTACAGGTAGTAAGTTTACGCGGAAGCATTGAGATATTTAAAGTATGTTCGGATAGGACGAATTCTGTGAGACTGTGACGTAAAGACAACGTGTTTTTTTTTAACCGTGGACAGTCATGACGTGAGGGAGTTATGAAATTTTATTAATAAAATTGACTATGACGTTGTGGTATGTTAATTTGCAAGAATTTATGCGATGTATATAACAAATTTTGTATGCAAATTTATTTTACGTAATTTGTATTGGGTTTTAGGTTGAAATGTAAAATATTAGAAAATGTTGATTGTGTGATGTAAAAGAGTCAAATTTTAGTATTGTATTAATACAAATTTAAATTTTGTGTTAAAATATTAATTTTGCGTTAGGCTAGATTAAAATTTGTGATAATAATTGAGACAATTTCAGAGCAAAAATAATATATGTTAAATAAATTGTTTATTTATGTTTAATAAATTGTTTGAGTGAATTGTTAGAATTGTGAATAGTATACATAAATGTCATATTTACAAAAATTTTTAGGTCTAACAATTACTGTATTTTCTATTACATAAATTAAAACTTGATCTAGTTATGTCTGCATATCCTCTAGATATATTGCATGGAATACACAAAGTCCCTACTATGTAGAATAGTGTACATAAATGTGATAAATATTTATAAAAATTTTTAGATCCAACAATTAGTATATTTTCCATTATATAAATTAAAGCTTGTTGTAGTTATGTTTGCCTATCCTCTAGATATATTGCATGGAATACACAATGTCTCCACTATGTAAAATAGTGTACATAAATGTGATAAATATTTATAAAAATTTTCAGATCCAACAATTAGTATATTTTCCATTATATAAATTAAAGCTTATTGTAGTTATGTTTGCCTATCCTCCAGGTATATTGCATGGAATATATAAAATCTCCATTATGTAGAATTATACACATAAATGTGATATCTACAAAAATTTTTAAGCCCAAAAATTAGTATATTTTCCATTATAAAAATTAAAGCTTGATCTACTTATAATATTTACATATCCTCCAGGTATATTGCATGGAATCCACAAACTCTCCTATCAAGCCATTTCTCTATTTGACGAGGACAGTTTAGTTACGTTTGCACAGTTTTACGTTAGATTTAGATAAGATATAACCTAACAGAATCTACCTCGAATTTTATCCTCCACCTTAAAATTCATGTTAGCTTTCGTCTAGTCGGTTTGCCTGTTGTCTTCAAAAACATTCAAAGGTCATAGGTTCAGACATTGATGTCGAAACAGCAAGAAGTTTTGGTCAGTTTCAGATTATGTTTGATCTAGCGCAACTTTCAGTGCTGAAAAGTTTACAGAGATATTCACAAATACCTTTCTAGTCGGTTCAGTCAGTTGGCCCGAAAAATATTTGCAAGTATAATTAGTTTTATGTTATTTTTGGATAATTCTATGTGATACCGTCAAAAATTTATATCTGGAAGTATAATATATTTGAAAGTTTTTAGTTGCTTCAGTGAATTGAAATTAGTATGAAATTTTATTTTTAGGTTAAGTTTAATCAAGTTTAGATAATTTAATGCAGGTATCTAATAGCATCTAAAATTTGTCACGTACAAGAAATATAAATTATCTGAAACTCATTTAGTTAATTTAACAAATTGAAATGTCCATCAAATTTTATTAAGTTCATATTAATTTTAGGTTAAGTTTGATCAAGTTTAGATAATTTAACGTAGTATCTAATAGCATCTACAATTTGTCATGTACAAGAAATATGAAATATCTGAAAGTCCTTATTTAGTTAATTCGACAAATTGAAATGTCTATCAAGTTTTATTAACTTCACATTAATTTTAGGTTAAGTTTGATCAAGTTTAGATAATTTAACGCAGTATCTAATAGCATCTAAAATTTGTCATGTACAGGAAATATAAAATATCTGAAAGTCCTTAGTTGGTTTAACAAATTACAATATCAGTAAAATTTTATTCCTCACAGATTAGGTTTGAATAATCCCATGCATCATAAACATAAACATCAAATATCATAGTCCCGTTAATCCACCACAGTTAAATCCACAAAATTTGATTAATTGCTTATGACTTTCAGATTAAGTCCGCTCGGATTTATACTTTAACGCTAAGTAAAATTATCCTAAAATATTCGAAAGATCCGATAGACTCACTGGACCACTTTCACCGCCATATATCTGAAGTCCAATTACTATGAGGTTAGGTTTCGGTTAGATTTCGGTAATCTAACAGAGCAATATCGTCGAAGATTTCTTATCTGTATACTCGTAGGTCCTCGGTTTAGCCACTCCCATCAAAATGATCGATAAAATTCGGCTAATTTTGCGTTAATGTTAGGTTAGATTCAGATTAGAATTAGATAATCCTATTATACAGTATCTGAGGAGAATTTATTATCTTAATATTGGCAGTCTATGTTTTAGTTGATTTCTTCTGCTCTGAAATGGCAATCAAGTTTTGCAATAAGGTTAGGTTAGGTTTGGTTAATCTATTGTGTTATAGCT